TTACTACAGATTTTTCCATAACACATGAAAACACTACACCCCGGCTGAAAATAAGAACAAATAACAAAATGGGTTTGGCTCCACGTTAGGAACTCCACATCCTACCTCTGCATCAGCCTAGATAGTTTAGGTGATGGTTCAAGACGGATCCCTGCTGAGATGGCAGCAAATGCAATTTTTATTCTGTTCTCGAAGGAGAAGGGGGGTGGTGGTAGGTGGGAGACGCCAGGCTGCAACAGGGCTACTGTCATAACTTGGGAAGCCCCAAAAGCTTACACTGACCTAGAACAAGGCCATCAGATAGGGAACTAGCAGCTCCACGTGTGGGAGATAACAAATTTTGAGACCTAGGGCCCGCCCAGGTTGCGCTGGCTTCTCCCTTAGAACAGCAGCAGCTGCTCAGGGTGGAAAGCCCGGGGCACCAGGACCTTTCGTACCTTGCTTGACTCGGGGCTCCCGGGTGCTGGCAGCAGCGGCGGGGGGCGGCCTGGCCACGGACTTCTTGTTTTGGGCCTCCCCAAGGGCTGCGGCCTCGGCGGATTTGGCTCTGGAAGCAGACACTGCGGCCCGGACCGCCGCGGCTCCCGGCGCCTTGTGTTTCTTGTTCTTGCCGCCCATGTTGCAGCTGTGGCAAAGAATGCCCCCGGCCAGGTCCCGGAAACACCGCAGCACCGCCTCCAACTGCTCTTTACATTCCCCGGGTCTCACGCCACCACCCTGCGTCCTCCATCCGGGCTTCTCGGGCCTGGGCGACCGCTGCCTTGCAATTGCTCCGACTCACCACGGTTCCGCCTCCTCGCCGCCCTCTAGGTGCCTGCGGCGTGCCGGACCGTCTCGCCACTCTTCCTCAGGGAGCTGGCCACCCAGTAGTGGTCGGAGAGGAAAAGTCTGAAGAGAAGAAGTCAGGGAAGAATTCTGGGGGATGGGATTGTATGACTAGATTACTTTTGTTTCCTAAGGGCGACAGCTGAGGCTTCCCTTGGCGTCACTGTCGGTGCGCTCGCAGAGCATCGTGGGTAGGAGGGAGATTTGGTCTCCCAGCTCCGAAAGATGGCGGACGCTTTCGGGGATGAACTGTTCAGCGTGTTCGAGGACGACTCGACCACCGCGCCCGGACCTAAAAAAGACAATGAGAAAGAAAAGGGGAAATGGAAGGGGCCGCCGGGGTCTGCGGAAAAGGGCGGGTAAGGAAGATGTCGGGAGGTATTTTTATTTCTCTCTCCTCAACGTCGAGGGGAGAAAATACAACGTTCTTTTGTAGAGCGTAAGCAGCTGTAGCGTACAGCGAGTGGCGTCGGGAAGTGAAGGGGTTTGGGGAAAATGTTGGCGGAGGAGGAAGACTTTTGGTTTGGTGAATCGGGATTTTGGTGTTCCCCGGTGTCCGCAGGCAGCGTGAGCTCCTGCCACTGCAATTTCTTAACGCCTAGGTTGCTGACTGCCCTGGTGTGCGCCGTGGGGTCGGGACGGGAGGTAAGGTATTTCTTAGGTTTGTACCCCACAATACCTGGCACAGTCTTTAATAAATGAGACTAATGACCAGTTCAGTAAAGGGTTAAGAAGCTTGGAAAACGTGACTCGGATTGACTTGGTACCGGCAAACAGCAGCAGGAGAAAGGAGAGAAATTTAATCTCCATGCTTTCGCGTTTTTTGCCCATATAAAGAACGTGAGAGTGCGTACTACTGGGGTTGTGAGGATCAAGAGAGATAATATATGTAAAGCACCCTACGGTGCTTAGCACGTAATACATTGTCAAAAGCTGGTTATCGTTGAGTTTACTAAGAAAATTTTTAAAAAACTTATCGGTTCCTAAACATATATAGAGACTGATGAATAAAACTACCTTAAAGTGTACGGAATTGTTTATAGTAGAACAAGAAAATGTTAATACATGAATTCGGACGATTCTACATAAAAAAGTAAGACGATTCATTGTTTATCAACAAAATTTAATGTTGACTGGGGGAGATACCAGGAGAGTAAATTAAATTACACATGATTTTGCTCTCAAGGAATTTTTAGTCCTGATAAAGAGAACAGGTACATATTTTAAAAGTTAGTAGATGATTGAGATAAAATAAGTTGGTTATACAGTTAATTGCTATACAGATTCAGTAAAGAGATTTCTATTTGTGTCATTCAGGGAGCCTTACATGCAAGAGGAAATGATTTGTTACTCATGGGCAGTTTTTTTTTTTTTTTTTTTTTACAAATTGGGGTAGAGGAAATGTTTGCTTGGGACAACAAGAGATAAAACAGAATAAAAATTGGTTTTAGACTGTGAAGGATCTTGAATATCAAGCACGTTAATTTAAATTTCATTTTTAAACCCTGGTGAATAAGGTTTTTGTGGTCTTTTTTCCTAACTTACTGATTGGGTAAGTAGAGTGGTAGTTTAGGAAAATTAAGTGGTAGTGGTTGTCAGAGTATATTGAAAGAGAAAAGACAACAAAATAAAAGTAAGAAAGCAAATTAAGGAAGTGTTCTAGCTTAGTTAGGAAACCAAAAGAATCTCAAGTTAGGAGGTGGCAGAAGGAAGGGAAAGGAAAGGTGCAAAATGTTGTGAAGAAAAGTGACAGGCCTTAACAATGGAACAGGCCAGAACAATGGAAAGGGAGTCAAAAGAGAGAGATTTTGAATTTGGATATCAGGGAGAAGAAATATAAGGAAATTTACAGGAGCTTTTGATTTGAAAATGAAATTAATTTGACTTGAGACAAAGTGAAGTTATAATAGTATATCCAGATGGAGGTGTCCAGTGGGCAATTTTAATTAGGTTTTGGGCAAACCTCAAAACTGGAAGTGTACATTTGGATGTTGCTTGAATTGGTACTGTTTGAGTTGGAGATCCATTTGGGCAAGTACTGAAGACAAGGATTAGAGAAACAAAATCAGGAGCATGAAGTGTCAGGTAAGTAGGAGTCAAGGTAGAAAAATAGTCTTTCTCATTGAGTTGGAAGGAGTTGGGAGAGTTTGGGGGGGAACAATTCAGGGAAAATGAGAAAGGAGCACAGGTTCTTGCCTTTTTTTTTCCCCCAAATAATAATTAATAGTTCCTATAGTTTGAATGGGCAACCGCGATGTGATGAAGACAATACACAAGTAATTTCCGACTTTAGTAAATACTGTGCTTCAAAATTACTAGGGTAAAATTAATTCACTTTGTACTGTACTAGTGGTAAGCAAGTGAAAGTTTGTAGGATACAAAAATTTAATTTACATTTTAATTTTACTAGGAAGTACATGAACATTAGAGAAGGGAAATACATAAGAAAATATAGAACACTAGGGACTTAAGGGATTTTATTTACTAACATTTCTAGCTATGTGTGGTTTTAGGAAAAAATCCAGTTTGCCTGATTCCAACTATCACACTATGATAATTGTTATTCATATCATAATATGCATGATTTCTATCCAATTTAGGTAACATAGGGCAAATCGTGGAATTTAGAGAAACTTCTCGTGTATTTTATACTCTAGATCAAGTGGGTACTTTTTAAGAAACTTTATATTATTAAAATTGTTAATATGTGGCTAGGGTGTGGGAGAGCATGGAGAGAGAATAGTATGAAGAACTCCATGTACCCATACCATCTTCAGTATCGAGTCAGGGTCAATCTATTCCTGCACCTCCCCCCCATTTTTTTTTAAATCAAATGCTATTCCTCATGTTATTTTTCCCTAAATATTTCAGTTGCATCTTATTGATAGTGACTTTTTTCTTAGCATGGTTATCATGCCATTATTATACCCCAGAAAATTTACATGATTTCCTTAATATCATTGGAGATTTTGGAAATGTTATCTTGATGGTGGTGGTGATTTAGGATACTCTAAATATGCCCCAATAAAGCTTAAAAAAAGATAAAGAGTGCATAGGAGTGCAACATATCAAATCATAAAAATCCATTCATCAAGAAACTAAACACATAATCATACACCCATGTTGGTCACCATTAGAAGTTCCTTAGGGCACAAACTCATTTCTCTTCAAACTGATCAAGAATCAAGCATTTTCCTCCCTTCTATGAACCGTATTTCAGGGTAAACAGCTGATAGAATGTTCTTTTTTTATACATAGATTTGAGGTAATAAATGCAGAAAGGACAAAAATAGAAAAAAAAAATCACCATTTTGCTGGGGCGCCTGGGTGGCTGTCATTAAGCATCTGCCTTCGGCTCAGGTCATGATCCCAGGGTCCTGGGATGGAGTCCAGAATGAGATTTCTCCAGTTGGCTCAAAGGTATTTTATTTTATTTTATTTTTTTTAAAGATTTTATTTATTTATTTGACAGAGAGAGAGAACAAAAGCAGGGGGAGGAACAGAGGGAGAAGCAGGCTCCCCCGTGAGCAGGGAGCCTGAAACGGGGCTCGATCCTAGGACCCTGAGATCATGACTTGAGCCAAAGGCTGACGCTTAACTGACTGAGCCACCCAGGCGCCCCACGATATGCAGAGTATTTAAGTGTAATGCCCTAATGAAGTACACCTTCTAGTATTCATGACTTTCTGTAATTCCCTTCCACATGTATTTTGGAGTTGGCCACAGGACTTGTTTCAACCAAGGAAACATTAGCAGAAGTGATACAAGCTGGGGCTTATCATCTTGAAATACTTGCTCTTGGAAGCCAGATGCCATGCAAATCAGACCACTCTGTGACCACCACATCTGAGGAAACCCAAGCTAGCCCCCAAAGAAACCATTTTGGATATTCCAGCCTAAGAAGATACCTCATGGAACAGAAGGACTAACCAGCTGAGCCCAGTATAGACTGTAGAATCTAAAGAAATTAATTGTTGGTTTAAGCCACTACTTTTTTGGGTGGTTTATTATGCAGCAACAGATTACTGAAACAGTGATAGAAAAGCCTGGCAAAGCAGTTAGTTATTTTTGATAAGCAAAAATGTTATTGCAACCTGGTATTTCTACTCATGAACTATTACATGTGTTTTCATTCTGATTTTATACAACTTTAAATGTTTAATTTCTTAAATTACCTTAATCTTAGTATCTTCTGGTGTTTTGGTTTTAGGCTGCAATGGAGGTGAAACAGTGGCTGGTGTTTGAGGAGACTGGAATTTTGGCCTACTTTTAGGTTGCTGTTCTTCAAATTCTTGACTGAATCCTTCAGGAAGTGCATCTTAAAAATGGGAATAAAAAAACATAAGCATACACATTCATTAAACATGCATATAAACCCTGCCTAGACAAACAGCACAGAATTTTCTTCCATCCGTCATCTCCTAAGAATAGAAATCCTATGATGAACCTGGCTTTATTGTCAAAGCAGGAGTGGAAACACTCATGAGATAGCTAGCCCACCTCTGTTTGGCCATTTATTTCACCCTCAATGTGTTAGACTTCTAAATTTTCAAAAAAAATCTGAACCCTTCCCAACTCCTTGGTTGCCTGTCATAGTGTATGGTAAGATCCTCATTCAGTCATACAAGCAATTTGCACTCCAGGTTCCTGCCAAAGATTGTAACCTTGACCTTCTGGTTAAACAAATTTATCTAAAGCCATATGGTCCAAATTTCTGAACCAAAGCCAGGAAACACAGCCTGACAGGTTACAGGCAGGCAAACTTTGAGAATTTGTTGTATTAAGTGCACTGTAAAATGACTACTGACAACTAAAAGTAATGTACAAAAAATAATTCCTTCTTGCATGGACTACAGTCTCTGAAAACATACTGTAAAGAGTGAAAAAGAGAATATTTGCAAAATAAGCAATTATAACAGTGGAAAAATTTAGAGCTTGATACAAATGTCACAAATGCTGAAATAATTTTGAGAAGGTTTGAGAAACTGAATTTTATGACAATACTACTTACCATCTGAAAGATTTAAACAGAGCCAATCCAAGGCAGAATGGAGATCACCTCCCTGTAAGAGTGTGTTAGTCATGGCATCTTCAATGTCCTTGGTCTTAAATGAAAATGCTTGTAAAGCCATGTATAAATCCTTTGAAAGGGAAATGAAAAAAGGCATTCTATTTTCTCTCATTTTATTACTCATTTTATTCTTCCACTCATTTTAAACCAGAAGCTGATAATAAATTTTAATTTCAAAAATATCTTTTTTTTTCCCTTCCGGTTAGAAAAGTTAAATATGCTCACCAAACTGAGAATTGAAAACTATTGATAAATTAAAAAAGGACCTGAAGACACTGCTCATATTCTCACTATTCAAAGATACTGTGCAATGTAGTATGTTTCCTTCCAGTCATTTTTCTATGATTTTGTAAAAACAAATTTCACTTAATAATGTAATGTAAGCATCTTCCCAAGTTATTAGAAACTCTTCATCACTTTTAATAGTTATATAATATTCCACTGGCTAGACATATCATAAGCTAATTACAGTTTCCTATTGGTGACCACTTAGGATATTTTCTTTTTTTATTGTAAGTAGTGCTTCAATGAACACATCCATACATAAAGTAAAGCATCTTAATGTACTTTCTAAAGCATGATCTTTAGAGCTGGGCAGAACTGGGTTCCAATCCAGACTCTGCTTACTCTGCTACTTACTAACAACCTCCAGCTATAGCGTCTGTAATCTTTCCAAGCCCCAATTTCTTCATTTGGAAAATGGGGCCAAGTACCTTTTGGTATTGTGCCAGAGAAAAAATAAGCAAAGTGCCCACTACAGAGTCTAATATAATCTGGGGAATGTAATTTAATTTTCATACCACCATTTTAATGTGTGCTCTTGTACCTGGCCCAATTCCTTCCCTATTCTTGCTGACGGAAATGATCTACATGAAATCTCAATGGAAGCTGAAGAAGTCATTTTATCTCACCATCTCACATGTGGAGCTGTCTTAAAAAGGCTCCATTAAAAATAAGGAAGTTAAAAAAAGTTTGCAAAATACCTGTAATTTTTTGGCAGTAAGTCTTCCAGAAATCACCCCCTTGTCATTATTTTGCTTTTTATGCTCATTTATCACTCCAATAATTCTTTGCTCTAGTTTGTGATTAATTACCACCTGTGGAAGCCAAAAAGGTCATTATCAATTAGAATCTAAATTATTAAATAACATTTAATAATTAGAAAAAAAATCACAGTTTTCTATATCCCTGACAACAAATACAAGGATTTCAGTTAAAATCAGATAAAATAATTATTGTATTTTAGACTACCATTCATTGGACCACATCTGTACCATATATTTTAGAAAAAATGTGACAGGTGTGCCTGGGTGGCTCAGTTGGTTAAGTGTCATGGTGTTAAGCATCAGCTTAGGTCAAGATCCCACGGTTCTGGGATTGAGCCCCACGTCGGGAATCCCTGCTCAGCAGGGAGCCTGATTCTCCCTTTCCCCCCTGCTCTCTCTCTCTCAAATAAATAAATATAATCTTTAAAAAAAAGAAAAAAAAATGTGACATGGAAAAAGCAATGTATGGCAAGAAAAAATCCTTTGAAAAACCCTCTTGAACCTGCATGTTTCAAGACATTGTTCTTGGATTGCTATTTTATGACTGATTCCTAAGCTTGATCCTAAGCAAGCTGAATCAGAATCCTTGGAGATGGATTCCAGAAATCTGTTTAATGTAAACCACCCCAAGCACACAGCTTGAAAGAATGGATGCTACACTAAAAAGACCTATAAGGTAAAAGTAAAAGCTATACAAATAGTAATAATTAAGCTACACAAATTCTTTTGGCTTTCAGGGTTTGATTCCTGTTTTTCTATTAGCCATTTTGTCTTCAATATTTTTGTTCCATATGTTCTTTCCATACTTTTGACCTAAGAATACATAAACATCTACCTACAAAGACACCACCCCTTGACCACATCTTTACTGAATGCCTACAATGAGCTATGTTTAAAAATATACTTCAGGAGTTCAGTCTAGCAGAGGAAACCTATATAAAAAGATAAACTGTAAACCAGCACAGCAATCATTTAAAAAGGTATATGAAAAAAGTATGGAATCACACGGAAAATTGCTGAGTTATGAAGGACTTCCTAGAGGATCCAGAGATGACAAATGGAGAAGGGGAAGTAGGTCTTTTTAAGCAGAGAGCCCACTGACAAAAGCCTGGAGTCATAAAATCATATGGGATTTGAGGGAACAATGAGATTTAAACTAAAATTTTAAGTGGAAAAGAATAATGGGAAGGAGGCTGGAAATGTACACCAAATCAGGTCTGAAAGGATGCATATGCTATCCTTAGAAATCTGGATCTTATCCAGATCTTCCTTAATTTCTTATGGGCTTTCAATATATGTGTTATGATTTACTTCTATTTAGTACGGATCAGCAATTAACTATTACAAAAAATTTAAATACCCCATAATTTTCTTATATTTAAGAATATCTTTTTTTTTTTCATTTTTCAAAGAGAACATTTCTTGAAATGACTCAATCTCAGTACTCACTTTTAAAATAGATTTATCCAGATTAGCAGGACCACCAGAATCATTTGCAGAATTAAAACTATAAATTTTTGGACCTGTATATAACAGACAAAAAGTAGTCAAGGCAATTTAGTCATTAATAGCTATTACACTATTTTAATTTTCCTCTAAAAAATTGCTAAACATTAAATATTTGATTTCAGCTCTTTTTTCCCCACTTCACCAAGGAATCTACAATCTAGCAATATGGCCTATAAATTTTCAAAAACATTTTACCAATTAGAGTTCTCTAGGTTAACCAGTTACTTACAAAGAGCAAAGGCCTGTAATTTTTTAAATTAAATTTATCTTCATCTTCGTATTTTCACAATCAGATGCTTTTCTGCCTGGTACTTGGCTGAAGTAAGACCTCTCAGAGGGTATTAGATTCCTGGTAGAGACGATGGTTAATTTTAAAGAGAAACACTCCCTTAAGGTAAAAATGAGGTGGCAGTTCCTATCATCTTCTATTCATAGAGTCCAAGGTTGCTGTATTAGCTTCCTAGGACAAATTACCACAAACTTGGTTGGCTGAATATAACAGAAATATTCTCTCACAATTCTGGAGGCCAGAAGTCCAAAATCAAGTTGTCAACAGGCCCATGCTCCCTGCAAGCTCTAAATAAGAATCCTTTTTTGCCTCTTCTGGCTTCTGGCGATCCCGGGAGTTGCTTGCCTTGTCTGCCTCTTTTTTACACATGGTGCTTCACATGGCCTTATTCCCTGTGTGTCTGTGTCCAATTATCCCTCTCCTTTCTCTGGACACTACTCATTGGATGATTTCATCTCAAGATCCTTGACTAATTATATCTGTAAAGACCTTATTTCCAAATAAGGTCACATTCTGAGGTTCCAGGTGCAAATGAACTTGGGTGGGGGAGGGAAGGGGAAAGTGCGACACTACTCAACCCACTACAGATGCCAACTCTGTTCCGGCCAACAGAAATGCTATGCATATCATCAGTTCTCTAACAATGACCAACCAAGAAGGAATAAATAGTATTAAAAGGTACTTTCAAACCTTTGGTCTCATGATCTCCTTACTCTCTTAAAAATCAGTGACAATCCTAAATACTTTCTGTTCATGTGAATTATAACACTGATATATACCATATTGTAAATAAAAAAGGAAAATTTTTAAATATTAATTCATTAAAAACAACAAACCTAAGACCAGTTAATATAAACACTTTTTATGAAAAATAACTGCATTTTCCAAAATAAAAAGAAATTGTTTTCCATTTTTGCAAATCTCTTAATGTCTGGATTTTGCATTCAATTTTCTGTATTATCATGTAGTCACTGAAAAATACCACTATATACTTGTGAGAAAATAACCACAAAAATGACAACATTTTAGGGGCGCCTGGGTGGCTCAGTCGTTAGGCATCTGCCTTCAGCTCAGGTCATGATCTCAGGATCCTGGGATCGAGCCCTACATCGGGCTCCTGCTTGGCGGGAAGCCTGCTTCTCCCTCTCCCACTCCCCCTGCTTGTGTTCCTCTCTCGCTGTGTCTGTCAAATAAATAAATAAAATCTTTAAAAAAA